GCTGAATAAGGAATTCGTGGTGAGAATTCTGCTTGTTGCGTCGTTGTTGCTGTTGTTGTTGGTGGTGTTGTTGGTGTTGTTGTTGGTGGTGTTGTTGTTGTTGTTTGTCGTCGTCCGACCCGTGACCCACCCCACCCCGCACCCACCCCGCGACCCACCCCGCGACCCACCCCGCGACCCACCCCGCGACCGACCCGCGACCCAACCCCTCGGCCCACCGGCGACCCAACCCCGCGACCCACCCGCGACCCAGCCTGCGACCCACCCGCGACCCACCCGCGACCCACCCGCGACCCACCCTCAAAGGAGAAAAAACCACCCGGACCCGACAATTGACGTTTACTGAACGGCCCCGGGCGTTTACTAAGCAGCCCTGCCCTGTTCGAGTCATTCCTCGCGTGCGTTTACTAAGCGGCTTCGCTTGTCGGGGTGATTACTGTGGGGTGGATGTTTTGCCCTCTACACCCGCGACCCACCGGTGATTTCTTCGCGACCCAACAGCGACCCACCCGCGACCCACCCGCGACTCACCCACATTGGTTCAACGAAAAAATCAGCGCCTGCGGCGGGCTCGTTGTCTAATTTGTGAAACTTTGGCGCTTGCGGCGGGCTTCTCCAGAGTCTCGCAAACTGCCGACGTCCCCACCGCCCCCTCACTCGTGTCCGCATCTGCGGGGTGCTACGTATTCTTCGACTTCTCCCTCCATGTCCCCAGTCGCATCATCATGCCATGTCTGCTTGCATATCACTCCTGTTCCTCATCCTCCTCTTTCTGCGGGGCGCCGCAGGACCCTCCTGCACTTGCCTAGAGTGCTCCAGAACCCTCTGAAGCCCTCGAAGACTTCCTCCCTTCGGGATTCGGCGGGATGATCAGTAAGACTTCTCAGTAGCAGTCGGAGGAGGACCAGGAAGCGCAGTACAGTCAAGCTCGCTCGCCCAAGCGAGTCGACGGGCCATGCCCGCTCATCTCCACCCCGACTCCCATACAGTGCAGGCCAGTCAACAAGAAACCTCCCACGAGAAACCCGACCCCGAGACCCCAGGACGTGGGAACGTCACGCCTTCCATCGCAACACCATCGAAACCCAAGAAACCCAGGGCACCCTGGAGGCAAGTAGGGTGTTTCTTGACGAACCAGCAACACACACCCATATCCACATGGGGGTCGGAGAGGGCTAATTATGGGTGCGTGTTGTCGGATGGGGGTCCCCGCTCGAACGGGAGCGTTCCCCAGGGTCCGACAACCCGCACCCATACCCATAGCCAGTCCTCCTCCCAACGACCCCCCTACATCGGCGTTACAAAAGCTTCGTCATAAAATAAAAGCCGATCATCTTGCAGAAGCAAAGACAAATCCCGCCCCGGTGGGATTTCTGGAACCGTGTAAATTCACATCGGGATTTGAAAATGTCCCGTTTTAAATCTATACTATGATAGTAAAGGATGAAATCCCACTTTTAGAAATCCCGGATCTTTGATCCGACCGCTCTTGACTCAGTCCGCTAGGATTCTAGGGGGGAAGGGGGGGCCAGCTCGGCGCGGCCAGGGCAGTGGTCAGCCTCTGCCCGCTTGCTCACGCGGAAGGAAGACACGAAACCCATGCCACCTTCAAGCTCTCATGAAACGTGACGAGCTTTTGTAACGGCGTAGTATGGGTATGGGTGTGTGTTGTTCGTTCGTCATTTCTTGGCACGAGTCTCCACTGTGGCACGAGACACGCTGTTGGCACGACATGCAACTGGGGCGGGCGAGCACTCCCGGCGCAGCGAGCGCGGGGTACACCCCGCGCGCGCACGCGCGCACGCGGCCCGCGCCTCCGACTCAGACACTTCCGGCACTTCGGACGGGAACTGCGTGCGCCTGCTGTTAAGTCGGGCCTGTCCCCCATACAGGGGGATCCTCGACGAAAGATAAAAGACATCCCAAAAAAGAGTCCACAAATAATCCAAAAATAGCCTGGGGACTACTTTTCTAGCATTGTGTTTTTACTTTTTGGGAATATGTGGGGGGTCTTTATTATTTTTCGTCTCAAATCCTCCAGGAGGGGGACACGCCCGACAGAAGCCTGCTGTTCGGTGCGCTCGGCCTCCGGAGGCCGCCTCGAGGCCCCCGGCCCCTCGTGCAAGGGGCCAGGGCGACGGCCCCGGCCCCTGGAGACGGGCCGCCGAGAGATCCGCGGGCCCGCGCCTCAAGACCAACGGCGCGCCGCATGCCCGGCGACGGCTTCCGGCGAAGAGACACAGCATGCGCCGCGCCCGAGCCTTGCCAGTCTGAAGGGGCCCCAAGGACACACACATAAATACACGCAAAGAGAAGGATTCCCCATGTTTTCCCGTATTTTCTGGGTTTCTGGCTTCCCCCCCACTTCCCGTATTTTCCCATATTTTCCTGGGAGTCGACGATTGATTGTGTCTGTGTGTTTCTTTCCCTCCTGACATGACAGTCTCCGTCCCCCTCCTCTTCACAAGGGGAACGAAGCATGACATGCACATAACAACTCGGAGGTCCGCGCGGATCTCTCGGATCGGCGCTGGACATCCCCCCCCCCTGGCGCGCTCCGCGCGCCAGGGGCGGCACCGGAGGCGCCGCCATGGGGGTCCAGCGCGGATCCGCGAAATCCGCGCGGACCTCCGAGTTTTCATGTTCATGTCATGCTTCGTTCCCCTGGTCCCCCTTCTCTTCACAACCACCTCGATCGCAGCGAGAGATCCTGCTGCCCGCCCCTCGCCCGTGAGCATCGTTTATCCGGTCCCCATCCCCAGCGGCGTGGCCAGGGCCCCACTGGCCGATTCACCCCCCTGGATGGGGATATGGGCCGTTCCCTTCGGGCTTCGAGGGGTGTATCCCCAACTGGGGGGGGTAATTTAGTGGGGGTCTCGAAGGGGATGAGGATGGGGATGGGGGCCGGCTACACGCTACTGATCAAAACAATCTCGATCGCAGCGAGCGATCCTGCTGCCCGCCCCTCGCCTGGTACGTGGCCGGCAGCGCCCTGCCGCCGCTGGAGAGCGACGAGTCGCTGCGTCCGCGGCCCGAGTCGCTGCGCTCGCGGCCGCCGGCCCGCGCCGGCTCTATCTCGGAGACCTGCACGGTCACCTCGGGAAGAACGCCATCTGTGCGAGGCAAGGGCATGTCCATACATAGGAGAGCATCAATGTATGTATGTGTGTCTGTATGTGTGCATGCAGGCATGTGTGTATATATATATGCGTGTGTATGTACGTACGTATGTCTGATGTTTGATATATATATACATACATACATACATACATACATACATACATACATACATACATGCATACATACATACATACATACATACATACATACATACATACATACATGCATGCATGCATGCATACATACATACATACATACATACATGCATACATACATACATATATACATACATACATACAAATATACACATACACATACTGGTACATGTATGTGTATGTGTATACATGTAGACCTATCAAGCTACAGCATACATGCAAAAACGCTGCAGTGGCCGATCCCTGGCCCCTCCCCCGTAGCCTTTGAACGATATTCCCGAGCCCCGGGGCACCTGCCCGAAGAGCTCCAGGACAGCCGAACACGCCCCCCCACACACCAGCCAAGGAGGCCCCCGAGTTGGCCCAAGAGGCTCCCAATGCGCCCGAAGACACCTCCAGAATTTCCCAAGAGCGCTCCAAGAGGGCCCAATCAAGTTTCTAGCCGGCCACAAAGGCCCTCAAGACGGCTCAAGAGGCCCCCCAAAAAGCCCCCAAGAGGCACAAATCGTCGCGTTCCCTCTTTGGGAAGCTTGTATGTTTAACAGATTCGGTTCCTCGGTCCGACAAGCGTACAAGACGGCCCAACAGGCCTCCGAGATCGCCCCAAGACGACCCAAGAGACCCCCAAGGGGGACTCAAGAGGGCCCACGAGGGTTCCAAAACGGCCCAACAGAGCCCCAAGACGGCCGAAGACAGGCCCCGTAGGGCCCCCAGAAGGGACCCAAGGGAACCCCAAGAGGGCCACAGGGGGGCCCTACCAAGACGGCCCCAAGAGGGCCGAAAGACGGCCTCAGCCCCGAACGCACACAACCCAAGAGGGCCCCAGCCCAGGACGGCCCACGAGGGCCAAGAGGGCACAAGAAGGGCCCCGGAGAAGGCCCAAGAGGACCCCAAAGACTCCCCAAAATATCCCCCAAAGGGCTTCCGCAAAACTCCCGAACAGCCCCCCATACGCATTTGGGAGGTCTCGCGGTTGCGTCCGGCACTGACTACCTACCAGACCACCCCAACCCAACCCGAAGACCCGAATTTGACCCGAATCTCGGGTTGGGGGGGGGGTACGGATTCCATGTGTTTCTTCAACGTTCCCCGACCCCCCCCCCACTGGAAATGGAGGGCAAATTGAGGGCTTCAGGTTGGGTTGGGGTGGCTTGGTGGGTGGTGAGGCACGGCGTTCCTAAAAAGGCTTCCAGACGCACCCAATTCACGAATCACGCAGGGCTCCCACAGGCCCCACAAGAAACACGCCGCGCGTGGCCCCGACGAGCACCCCCACTGCCCCGAACTCCCGAGGCAGGTCCCGGGCGTGCCGGCATGGCGGCACGAGGCCACGGCGGCGTGACCACGACCCCCGTCGCGGTCATGCCCGCGCCCCCGCTTTTCAGTGAGCGGCCGTCGCCTTGCCCCCCGAGACAGCTCATGTCTACTCGCTTCGGCCAGCCGTGGGCAAGTCGGCGCCGCGAGCGACAAGACCCCTTTGAAAGCCCCCTCAAATCTGAAGCCATCCTGAAAACCGTCCAGGCAACGCCCCAACCACTTCCAAAACGAACGCGCATCATTCGGCTGCGGCCCGTCCTCCTCGTTCGCGTCTTGCTCTGCATCTTCTGCTCCACCTTCTATTTCGCCTGCGTCTCCCATGTTCGACCCATCGCAATCGGCTCTCTTTAGGCCAGCCGGCGCCGTGGACGCCGAGACCCCCTTTTAAAGCCCACTCAAATCTCAGGCCCGCCCGAAACGCGTCCAAACAACACCTGGGCCACCTCTAAGACGAGCGGACGCGAGTCGTCGCCATCGTCTTCCAGCGGCCACGAAACGACCAAGGGGCCGCGAGACATCAAAGTCAACGATGCTTCCAAACCCGTCGAAGGATTCGGATTTGGCGCACGCGGTCCCCAAAACGCCCTGGAGGCTTCCAGGAGGCCCTTCAGACGGCGCAGAAGCCCCAAAAGCACGCAGTAAGCTTTGACCACGACAAAAACTTGTTCAGCGCGCGCCCCTCGCCTCACGATTGGCTTCACCACCCCTTCTCCGGGCGACGACCTTTTCCCCCCCTCGCGGCCATCAGCGCCGCCCCCTCGTCGCACCCACCCTTGTCCCTCTCCTACGACCCTCACATCCACCCCGTTCCCAAAGCCCGCGGTCCCCACTCGCACCCACGGGTGTACTTGTTCGACCGAGCGACATTCACCCACCTCGCGGTCATCACATCGGTTCTCGCGTTGCCGGAAGCGCATTCCGTCATGACCTTCTCACCTTTTGGCGACTGCGGGGCCGTCTGTCGTGTCGTGCCCGTCCTCCTCAGTTGTAGATTCCTCTTTCTCCCGTGCTCCGTACTCGCCGTCATGACTGCGGATCTCATTCGTTTCTGCTTTTACTCCGTTGACGTTCATGGCATTGTTGCTTGAACGTCGTGACCGCAAACCCCGTCGCGGTTACAACTTCCTCCCACTTCGCATGCGTGACTTTGGCCTCGTCACACCGATGCTGCTTCTCCCCAACCAAAGAGACATGCCTGTGGCCCGTTCCGGGATGATGACAATGACCCTCCTCGTGGCCATTTTTGCTTTCACCAACCACCCGACAGAGTGGTCGGGAACGCATGGACGCAAGACCAACATTCAGGCGAAGCAAATCGATCCACCAAATCTTGTGTATACGTAGCACCCCGCATATTCGGATAATAGTGAAGGGGCGGTGCGGACGTTGGCAGTTTGCGGGACTCAGGAAAAGCTCGCCGCAGGCGCCAAAGTTGCACACATTATACAAAGAGCCCGCCGCAGGCGCCGATTTTTCCGTTAAGCCAATGTGGGTAGGTCGCGGGTGGGTCGCGGGTGGGTCGCGGTGGGTCGTAAATGGGTCGCGGGTGGGTCGCGGGTGTAGAAGGCAGAAAATCCACCTACTAATCATAACCCCGACAAGCGAAGCCGTTTAGTAAACGCACAGAAGGAATGAATCGAACACGGCAGGACGCTTAATAAACGCCCAGGGCCGTCCAGTAAACGTCAATTGTCGGGTCCGGGTGGTTTTTCCTCTCTTGAAGGTGGGTCGCGGTATGGGTCGCGGATGGGTCGCGGGGTGGGTCGCCGGGTGGGTCGCGGGGTTGGGTCGCGGGGTGGGTCGCGGGGTGGGTCGCGGGGTGGGTCGCGGGGTGGGTCGCGGGTCTGGGTCGGGGGTGGGTCGCGGGTGGGACGGCAAAAACAAACAACAACAAAAACAAAAACAACAACAACAACAACAACAACAACAGCAACAAAAAAACAACAACCACCACCACCAGCACAACAACAACAACAACAACAACAACAACAACAACAACAACAACAAACATTACAACACCAACAACAACAACAGCAGCAGCATCAGCAACAACAACAACAGCAACAACAACAACATCAACAACAACAACAACAACCATTTTAAGGCTGTACGCTCTTACTTGCCCGCGAGTCATTCAACACGTATACCCTACACCCTCGATACCCGCCCTCTTCGTCTTCGATCACACCCCTTTCGGGGGGATATTTCTCTTTGCTGGGGCCGGCGGGCTTAGACGTACGGGCAAACCGGAACGGGCGGACAATCCTTCGGGGGCGTACATCTCTCTGCCCGCCATTGGAATTGGCGCGGGCCCTGCAAGAGGAGGAGGGGAAGAACGAGGGAGAGTGGGAGGAAGGGGAGGGGGAAGGACGAAGGAAGAGGGAAGATACCACGTTGTGAAGGCGTCCTTGGCGCGCGCGTGGTTCCTGAGCGCCGAAACGCAATTCCAGAATAATTTGTGAGGACGTCGCACGCGAGAGCGCAGTCCTGAGTACATTGTGAAGAAATCCTAGGCGGAAGCGGGGGCCCTGACTAAGTTGCGAGGAAGTCTCAAGCGGGAGCGCCGTTCCTGACAAATTGCACGGAAGTCTCAGGCAGGAGCGGGGGTCCTCACTAAATTGCGAGGAAGTCTCAGGCGGGAGCGCCGTTCCTGAGTCAATTGCGCGGAAATGTCGGGCAGGAGCGGGGGTCCTGAGTAAAATTCGCAGAAGTCTCAGGCGGGAGGGCCGTTCCCACGTAAATTGCACGGAAGTCTCAGGCGGGAGCGGGGGTCTTGATTACATTGCGATGAAGTCTTAAACGGGAGCGCCTTTCCTGAGTAAATTGCGCGGAAGTCTCAGGCGGGAGCGGGGGTCCTGAGTAAAAATCGTGGAAGTCTCAAGCGGGAGCCGTCATTGTTGTAGCCCGGGGGGCAGGGGCACAGTTTGCGCAGGAAGACTTTCCTTGAGAAAAAATTATTCACTGCGTGGGGATCCCCATATGTGCATATCCTTGCTGGCGCTCCCTTGGTGGTGGGATTCGGTGAGGACGAATCTGGATTTAAGTGTGACTGAGAGGCCTCTCTCTCTGCTCTCTCTGCTCTTTCTGTCTCTCTCTCTCTCTCTGCCCTCTCTCTGTCTCTGCCTCTCTTTCCCTGCCTCTCTCTCTCTCTCGCTCTGCCTCTCTCTCTGCCTCTGTCTCTCTGCCTCTCTCTCTCTCTCTCTGCCTCTCTCTCTGTGCCTCTCTCTCTCTCTGCCTCTATCTCTGCCTCTCTCTCTCTCTCTCTCTCCTCTCTCTCTTCTCTCTATTATCTCTCTGCTCTCTCCTCTCTCTCTCACTCTCCCTCTCTCTCTCTCGCTCTCGCTCTCTCTCTTCTCTTCTCTTCTCTTCTCTTCTCTTCTCTTCTCTTCTCTCTCTCTCTCTCTATCTCTCTCTCTCTCTCTTTCTCTCTCTATCTCTCTCTCTCTCTCCCTCGCTCTCTCTCTCTCTCTCTTCTCTCTCTCTCTCTCGCTCTCTCGCTCTCTCTT